CGGCCCCAGCCGCGGCCAGCGTTTCCTCTCGGAGCAGCCGCCGCGAGCCCAGGGGGTTTGAAAGGGTCCGCGGGGCGTAGGGGGAGGGCCCAGCGGGGCCGGGAGGGGAGGTTTGAGCGACACTGAGCTCGGGCTGGCCGGCGGCGACGGCGCCGGGGGTGGCGAGGAAGGCGACACTCGCTCCGCACTGCCTCGGTGCAGAGAGACCGGGAGGGCTTTGCAGCGGCCGCCGCCGCGGCGGGAGGAGGGGGCTGAGGTGGCTTCGGAGTTGGCCGGAGAAGGTGGGCATTTCTCGCTTTCCCTCCCTCTCCCCTGCCCTTCCCTCCTTTGCTCTCCCTCCTCCCTCCTTCCCCGCACCCCACGTGAAGCGGAATATAAAGGGGGGTGTGAGACTAGAGGGGAAAGTGAATGGCGAAGGACTGAAGGGGTCTCCCCTTCGGGTCCCCGGCCGCTCTGTTCACCCTCGTTCATCCTCCCTTCCCGAAGCTCGCCCTCGAAGGTAGGAGCGGCCGGCGCCTTCAGCTGAGGAAGAGGAGAAGGAGGAATAGCTCCGGGCGGAGCGTCAGGTCGCGTTTTCCTCTCCGGCGTCTCGAATACAAAGATTACGGTGCAGAAGGAAATTGCACTCGCCTCCTCCGCCCCGCGGTACCCAACACAATGCACCAGCCTCCTGAGTCCGCGGCCGCCGCCGCCGCCGCTGCAGACATTAGTGCTAGGAAGATGGCGCACCCGGCGATGTTCCCTCGGAGGGGCAGCGGTAGTGGCAGCGCCTCTGCTCTCAATGCAGCAGGTACCGGCGTTGGTAGTCATGCCACATCTTCCGAGGATTTTCCGCCTCCGTCGCTGCTCCAGCCGCCGCCTCCTGCAGCATCTTCTACGTCGGGACCACAGCCTCCGCCTCCACAAAGCCTGAACCTCCTTTCGCAGACTCAGCTGCAGGCACAGCCTCTTGCTCCAGGCGGAACTCAAATGAAAAAGAAAAGTGGCTTCCAGATAACTAGCGTTACTCCGGCTCAGATCTCTGCCAGTATCAGCTCTAACAACAGTATAGCAGAGGACACTGAGAGCTATGATGATCTGGATGAATCTCACACGGAAGATCTCTCTTCTTCTGAGATTCTTGATGTGTCACTTTCCAGAGCTACTGACTTAGGGGAGCCTGAACGCAGCTCCTCAGAAGAGACTCTAAATAACTTCCAGGAAGCTGAGACACCTGGGGCAGTCTCTCCCAACCAGCCCCACCTTCCTCAGCCTCATTTGCCTCACCTTGCACAACAGAATGTTGTGATCAATGGGAATGCTCATCCACACCACCTCCATCACCACCATCACATTCATCATGGGCACCACCTCCACCATGGGCACCACCATCCATCCCATGCTGCTGTGGCCAGTGCACCCGTTCCTGGAGGGCCACCTTCAAGCCCAGTATCTAGAAAACTCTCTACAGCTGGAAGCTCTGACAGTGTTATCCCAGTTGCACCAACTTCTGCTGTCTCATCAAGTGGCTCACCTGCGTCCGTAATGACTAATATCCGTGCTCCGAGTACTACAGGCAGTATAGGTATAAATTCTGTTACTGGCACTAATACAGGGAATAATGTTAACATTACTGCTGTGAGTAGTTTTAATCCCAATGTGACAAGCAGCATGCCTGGTAATGCTAATGTAAGTACAAGCAATATTCCTAGTGCTGCTAGTGTGAGTGCTGGGCCTGGAGTTACCAGTGGTATTAATGTGAATATCTTGAGTGGCATGGGCAATGGTACTGTTTCTTCCTCCACTGTTGTTAACAGTGTACCTAATGCAGCTGCAGGGATGACTGCGGGATCAGTTTCAAGTCAGCAGCAACAACCAGCGGTTAATACATCACGGTTCCGAGTTGTGAAGTTAGATTCTAGTTCTGAACCCTTTAAAAAGGGTCGGTGGACTTGCACTGAGTTCTATGAAAAAGAAAATGCCGTGCCTGCTGGAGAAGGTGTGGTAAATAAAGTGGTGGAGACTGTAAAACAAAATCCGATAGAAGTGACTTCTGAGAGGGAGAGCACTAGTGGGAGTTCAGTGAGCAGTAGTGTCAGCACACTGAGTCACTACACAGAGAGCGTGGGAAGTGGAGAGATGGGGGCCCCTACTGTGGTGGTGCAGCAGCAGCAGCAGCAGCAGCAGCAGCAACCACCACCAGCTCTTCAAGGTGTGGCCCTCCAACAGATGGATTTCAGTAGCACTGGTCCACAGAGTATTTCAGCAGTTAGTATACCACCAAGTATTTCTCAGTCACAGATCTCACAAGTACAGTTACAGTCTCAAGATCTGAGCTATCAACAAAAGCAAGGTCTTCCATCCATACCTCTGCAAGCCACTATCAATGCTGCAACTGGTGTTCAGCCATCACCTGTAAGTGTGGTTGGTGTAACTTCAACTTTAGGTCAGCAGCCTTCCATTTCCAGCTTGGCTCAACCCCAACTACCATATTCTCAGGCGGTTCCTCCAGTGCAAACTCCCATTCCAGGGGCACCACCCCAACAGTTACAATATGGACAACAGCAACCAGTGGTTTCTACACAGATGGTTTCAGGCCATGGTAAATCAATGACTCAAAGTCTAACTTCGGAGTACGTCCAACAGCAGTCAGTTCTTCAAACAGCAATGTCCTCCGGACAGCCCAGTTCTGCAGGAGTGGGAGCAGGAAAAACGGTGATTCCTGTGGCTCAGCCACAGAGTATCCAGCTGCCAATGCAGCCCACAGCAGTCCAGGCACAACCTGCAGGGGCATCTGGCCAGCCCATTGGGCAAGCTCAGACAGCAGTGTCTGCTGTGTCTACTGGCAGTCAAATTGGAAATATTGGTCAACAAGCAAATATACCAGCTGCAGTGCAGCAGCCCCCTACCCACGTTACACCTTCAGTTATTCAACAAGGTGCTCCTCCATCTTCACAAGTAGTTCCACCTGTTCAAACTGGGATTTTTCATCAGGGAGTTCAAACTAGCGCTTCAAGCCTTCCTCAACAATTGGTTATTGCACCTCAAAGTACCTTGTTAACTGTGCCTCCACAGCCACAAGGAGTAGAACCAGTAGCTCAAGGAGTTGTTTCACAGCAGTTGCCCGCAGTTAGTCCTTTGCCTTCTGCTAGTAGTATTTCTGTTACAAATCAGGTTAGTTCATCTGGTCCTTCTGGAATGCCTTCTGCCCCAGCAAACTTGGTTCCATCACAGAATATAGCACAAACCCCTGCCACCCAAAATGGTAATTTGGTTCCAAGTGTTAGTCAACCTCCCTTGATAGCAACTAACATAAGTTTGCCTTTGGCACAACAGATACCACTGAGTTCTACTCAGTTCTCTGCACAATCATTAGCTCAGGCAATTGGAAGCCAAATTGAAGATGCCAGGCGCCCAACGGAGCCCTCCTTAGTTGGCTTACCTCAGACTATCAGTGGTGACAGTGGGGGAATGTCAGCAGTTTCAGATGGGAGTAGCAGCAGCCTAGCAGCCTCTGCTTCTCTTTTCCCGTTGAAGGTGCTACCGCTGACGACACCCCTGGTGGATGGCGAGGATGAGAGGTAAGATCATGCTGTATTTCTGCAGACATTAAACAGGTTTGAAGCAGCCTATTTGATAAGTATGATATAAATATATATATATACACACATACACACACAAAATCTGTTTAAAGCAGTTTTCATTTTTGTGAAAAATGTATTTTTGTAGTAGGTTTGCTGGAACAAGTGTTATGGGATGATTTCAGATAGGGTAGGAAATAATAGTATCACTACTGTGCACATAATATTTCTTGCAATAGTTATTGAGCATATGTTCTCAATAAAAATAGGTTTGGGGCACCAAGTGGTTTTATTATTTATAAAATGCTTTGGAAAGATTAATTGAAAAGAAGCTTAATTTTTGCTAACCCACATAACAGTTAATCTAGCCCTTTGAGTTGTTAAAATCCTTAATCATCTCTTGGGGGGTTGTGGTTCCCATATTTGTCTTCTTTACTAGGCAGCTGTTTTCAGTTCTGTGATCTTATTTCGTGGGAGATACTGTTATGTGCTTATCTTAGACACTTATAAGAAAGATGACCTAAACTGAGTTATATAGGTTGTCCTCATCCTGTGATTGACCATCTTTTGTGAACTTATTTAATGGTCATTTTATCGGAACAGTAAAGGAATAGGAATTTTAAAAAGTATTTTGTAAGGGATGAGGGCATGCATTCAAAATAACCAGATTTATCATTGTTGGTAGTGTGCTGTATATTTTTACCTTTACATAGTACATCAAGGTGGTAGCCATTTTAAAGAGTAAAGAAAGTCTTGGAGGGTTGAATTTATAGGCATGAAAATAAGACCTGGTTTTCCTGCCAATCTACTCCACCTGTTCCTTTATTTCCTTATGGAGAAAGTACATATAAACCTAAAATATATTATTAAACCAGCGTTTTCTCAGTTAGTTTGGAAATAATTGCTAATCATGCTTTATTGAATCAAATTGTGTTTTTGTAGCCGACTGGCTAGAAAAGTTGTGAAATCTTTCATGTTTATACATGGCTTAAAAACTTCATTGATTTTTTGAAAGAAATATTCTTTCCAGAATTTGCCAGTCTTTGACTAACCTCTATCAAAGTGATATTATAGGAGATCAAGATAATATAGGAATTAAGAAAAGACTGTTCATTTTACTGGAATTTTGAGCAAGCGTGCAAGATATTTAATTACTTCAGTATTAGTTGGAGATTTTTGTGATTGAACTTTCATCAAACCAATTGAGATGTTTCTATATATTTGTGGGTTTCTATATATTTTCACTTTGGAAAAATTGAGCATATTACAAAAGAATGATAATTTTAAAAAGACAAAGGCCAAATGTTTCAGTGAAGTTTTCATAATTGTTTTTCAGTTGTTTAAAAGATAAAAGGGAAAGGCATGGTTAATTGAAGTAACAAAATCTTTTAAGAGTTTTATTTTTCTAATAGTCATATAATTAAAGTTTTGTTATCTAACCAAATGTATTCTATATCATGTATAGAACTGTACTTTAAAAGACTTCTTCTGGGAGCTAGTTTCTTTAATGGTACTGTTATAATTATTGTTAAACCTTCAATTTTGTCATTATCATACAAATACCAGTAATTTTAGTGTAAAGAATTATTTACTCCCATTGTTACTATTTTCTAAATCAAAGGTGCCATCAGAGTGTAATCCCTGTAGAAACAAGTGTATTGTATGGATGCTGAATTTAGAGAAATAAAGGATAAGGTGAAATACACAAATGAAAACCAAACATTTTGAATTCACACCTGCCATGATTTTGTTAATTATGATTTTGTTAATTATCATTTTGGTCTCCTGGCATGATTCTTTTTTTCCCTCCCTTGTTGGCAGGCATGATAGGCCTTTCCATTGCTTGCTGTTCTAGATGAATAAAGTTAGATGATGCTCCTTATAATAGGTTTTTAACTGTAGGGATAGAGTTTAAGATATTTGTTCAAATTAATTTTTCCAGATAGTAACTGAGATGAATATTAACTAGGGGCATATTATGTAAAAAGATTTGAAATTCTAGAAAAAGAGATATTGAGAATAAAATATTGGTGTAAAGTAACACACTTTTCTTTAAAGACTGTACTTTGAATTTACTATATATTTAAGGTTTTGTTAGTTAACATCAAAGTTAAAACTGGAAAAGTTTTGCTTCAGAGGTATTCTATAAAATGTGTAGAATCAGAATATATCACTTTTAAAGTACCTGTAAGGTCAGAAAGTATATATTTAACACACACACACACACATACATGCATGCACACATGCTGGGCATGTGCATTGGTGAGACAGGGACAGAGAGAGGAAAGGGAGGGAGTGAGAAATCACCCTTAGGGCATGTCCATGCTGCAGTCCCTTATCCTCCACTCTTAAGATTTTGGACATGCATTCATACGTGTCTGTTGTAATTTCTCAAGCCATCTGGGGCTCTAAGAAGCTGGCCCTGTAAGATCCAGTGTCTTCACCTCTATGCCACCTGCTGACCCCTGCTCACTTGCTTTATTGTGTCTTACTGCAGGTTATTTCTTTTACTGGTGGTATAATTTGAAAAAAGAAATGTTGTTTCTTTTAAATTTATCCTTAGAAAAGAATTTGAGAATAACTACAAGAGGAAAAAGGTGTTAGGATAAACAGAAAAATTATTTTAACCTTTCTTCCCGTGTTAGCTTCTGTGTCACTTGGATCTTCTTGGCTTGGTCATCATTAGTTTCTCATGGGACAAAGGGGTACATTATGATTTGTTTTATGACTCAAAGTTTTAGCAGTATAACTTGTATGGTAGGGGAAATGAGGGTGGTTATTCTTTAATCTTTTGAAATAATATACTAATACTTTAGTTTTTAAAATGTACATTAGACAAGTGGAAAATGCTTTCAGTTGGCCACTGTGAAAGGCTGTAAAGATAAGAAACATGGATAAAGGCATTAAGATTATGTATTTTTTTTTAATTTATTAAAAAGGTCTTAATGTTTTGGCTTTTGACTTGACTAGCTTTTGATCCTTAATTTTCAGGAATGGGAAGCTTTAGATATTTTGCATGGGAATATAGGTTTTTGTGTCTTGTTGTGCAGCCCCTTATGTGATACTGGTCAGTGCAATATCACATAGTACCTTGTTAGTGCAGCCTCTTATGTGATATTGGTCAGACTTCTATTCATCCTTCAAAACTCAGCTTAGATGTTCCCTCTGATGCCTTCTCTTTGCCCATGGGATATTGTTTCCTTAGCACTTTTTAATGTTCCTCTATTTAAGCACTGTATACATTCAATTATAATTATGTTTACCAGTCTTTCCCACAAGACTAGGAGTTCCTCCAGGGCAGAGACTAAGGTTTTTTTGAACAAATTAATGAGCAGACTTGACTTTGCTTATTCTGTTGTGATTTAAAGTTATATCGTCTCTCATCTTAAGCACATCTGTTAGAGATACAGGATCATATAATTTACACAACAAATTGAAAAGAAATAAATAAAAAGACTTTGTGTCTGTGTCTCTCCATCTCTTGAGGTGAATTGATGTCCATCTTCTAATTCTTATCTTTAAAATAGGAGTACTTATTTTCCTACTTCCCACGATAGTAGTATCAGTTAAAATATTTTAACTGTAATGCACATTATAACTTAATGTTTAAAAATAAACAAGTTTTTATTCTTTATTTAAGATGTACATACACAGTTTACAGAGTGAATATGGTTATTCAAGAAGTAAATAAGAGCTTCCTGTCCCTATCCTTCCCAGTTTTGCTTTTCTAGAAACAACGATTTTTACCTCTTTAGGTGATTATTGTGGTAAATACCTCCTCGTCTCTAAATATCATGCTTATATTACTAGTAGATATGCAACATATCTTGATGGCTAGGGGCACGGAATGTGGGATTAGATTGCTTTGGTTTAATTCTCTGTTATCTACTAGTTTTATAGAACCATTGGCTGCTTAACCTCTCTGTGCCTTAATTTCCTTATTTTAAAAGAATCAGGATAATAGTATCTACCTCATAGGTTACAATAGTTAAATTAATTTAGAAAGTCCTTAGAACTTTAACTTATATCCCTACTGTAAGTTTTCGTTAAAAAACAAACAAACCAAAAACTCCTAGTTTTTGTGTTTGGTTTTATTAACTTCCTGGATAGAAAATGAAGATTTAACTCCCTTGTCACCACCTACTTAGGTGGTCTTCTTTATTCCTAGTAGCGATGATTGCATCACGATTGATTATTCACCATTTTTGAAAATACTATTACTTTTCCTACCCTGTACAATGTCCTGTAGCTAGTTCCCTTCTCCTACCCTTACCCCAGCTATCTATTGGGTTGTCAGAAAAATCATGACGTATTTTTTCGATGCAAAAACGCGTCATGACTTTTCCGACGACCCAATACTTACAGAAATGTTAGATGGTTCTCTTTTTCCTCCTAAGTTTTCATCTGTCAGCACAGTCTGTTTTCTTTGCGTTGCCTCTCCTTTCCACTACCCTTCCCATTTAGGTATGTTTTGGATTCTAATAGAACCTTTAACTCTAATAGAACCTTGGTTATCTGTTTACACTTAAGTGTAAGGGAGGGGACTAAAGAGCTGATTAGAAATTTTAATTGTGGCTTGAGATGTACATACACAGTTTACAGAGTGAATATGGTTATTCAAGAAGTAAATAAGAGCTTCCTGTCCCTATCCTTCCCAGTTTTGCTTTTCTAGAAACAACGATTTTTACCTCTTTAGGTGATTATTGTGGTAAATACCTCCTCGTCTCTAAATATCATGCTTATATTACTAGTAGATATGCAACATATCTTGATGGCTAGGGGCACGGAATGTGGGATTAGATTGCTTTGGTTTAATTCTCTGTTATCTACTAGTTTTATAGAACCATTGGCTGCTTAACCTCTCTGTGCCTTAATTTCCTTATTTTAAAAGAATCAGGATAATAGTATCTACCTCATAGGTTACAATAGTTAAATTAATTTAGAAAGTCCTTAGAACTTTAACTTATATCCCTACTGTAAGTTTTCGTTAAAAAACAAAC